CGCCGTCAGCTCCGGCCTCCTCCCCGCTGAATAATGAGGTTGGGAAAGTAAGAAGTAGTTAGCTACCGGTGCTAACCACTTTGGAAAAAAAAGCACAGGATATTTGGTGGCGGTTTTTAATGTATAAGCTTTCGTTTGAACAGCAGCGTCAGTTCCCCAAGAAGAAAGTAGGCGGCTGCGTGGTCAGATAAAATAAGAACCAACGTCCTCGGTATCTTTTATTTGGCTGTACCCGACCTGCTGTACGTACTCAGAGCGCCCTGTGACAGGTCCGATCGTATCACTGCGGAGCTTTAAACCGCCGAGGTGCTTTACCCCAAGGTCCTTTCTGTTTCCAGAAGCATTTTATCTAAGATCCGTGGACAAAAAACGCGCCTTGATTATTTTAATCCTGCGGGCGGTATCATCTGTGCCCATATTAAACCAAACTTACAAGCTGCGATACTACGTATTTTAAGGGCAAGGTCGCGTTATGAAAGAAGTTGAAATGTCGGCGATTCCCGCACGCACCGAACTGAAATAGTGCAGACGAGATTTGAAACGGTGCCGGCTGGTCTCTCTGTCGCTGGCGGTATGAGTTTTGAACCGTCGACAGGCATTTTGTAGAATTAGCTATCTTTGCTTTATTCCTGGAAAAATGTTTAACAAATACTGTGTTTTGTGAATATGCCGATTTAAATGACTTCGTCATTCAAGAGGTTCCCTAGTTTAAGGAAGGGTCTTTCTTATTCTGTTTCTGAATACCGAATAAAAATCGTTTCCTAAGCACCCAAGGGCATTGATATGTCTTACCAGTTGTAATTTATCGATTTTGTTCTCGTAGCAGCAAATCACCTTCATACAGAACCTATAGCTTATCCAAAATAAACTTGAGGAGTAATAAATGGTCGCTGTTTTCCTAATTTTGTATTTAACTTAAACGTAACGAAAATACAGTAAAGATCTTAGACAGCTCACCTGCTTCTCCATACAGCTGCGTATGAGTAAAGCTAAATATAACTTTTTGAGTGCCAGAATAAAGCACACGCAAGAAAAACGGCATGCGAAAGGCAGAGCTATCCACATCGATCCCGATTTCCCCGTGCCATTACTGCCCGCGTCTTCTCCTCTCCCCCGGGGTCGGTAGGTGTGAGTGTGCACCAAGAGTTTGCAGCAGAGGGGGGAAAAAAGCCCCAACCCTGGTAAATGCACGCTAAGCAATTACCGTCTCATAAACGAACAAATAAAAAACCCAGCTGGTGTTATTTCTCCGGAATCGTTTCGTATTTTAAAATGCGTTTGCCAAACCGATAATTTTAAAGGACTTGCTAATAACACCGCCATGAAAAAGTCAGTTGAAGTTAATTCTGTGAAAATAAGGGCTCCACTGTTAAGAAAGAAATCATGTAATTGCTTGATTATTGGCATCCTTTAATTGTTCCCGTGGAAAAATAGGATGTTTTACCAGACCTTAAAGCTTCGGTTACTTCAGGCGTTTCTGATGAAGCCCGCCTCCTTCGAGAGGAGCGCTGTAACAGTGAAACCCCATCCTGGTGATGGGGTGATGGGTGATGGGCTAGCTGATCAGCGCTAGCCCTGAAGATGCCTCCTCGGATGTGGAGTAGCGGAAAGGGTTGGGACTGCGCGGGAGACCTCCAGTGTCCCGTGGAGTGGAACAGCCCTTGGGGAACTGGTCGGAAAGCGGGAGGGAGGGCTTGTGGGGTGAGGTGGGGAGGTGCAGGGGGTGCTTTTTGGATGGGAAGGAAATGCGGTCGTAGCCGAGCGCAGCGTGGGGGTGTTGCAGGCTGTCTTACCTCATTTGTTTGTTTAGAAGCCATGTTCTCAGGTTTTGTTGGGGGTTTGTTTGGTGGGTTTTGGTTTTGGTTTTGTTCGGGTGGGGGTTTTTTGGTTTGGTTTCGTTTCACTTTGTTTTTTTTCTTTGTGATGCTTTTTGTTAAATCGCGCTTTTTGGTGTGATGCTCTGTGTATTGCATTAAATGCCGCAACTAAAACTTGTTACGTTTCTTGGACATTTTTGATCCAAGTCACAGAAGTCCACCCGGGTTTGTGTGACAGAGACAGAACTTGCAGCTGCTGTGTCCCTCTTTAAGGAGCTAGCAAGCTGCCAGTTTCACAGGAAAGGTAATTTATTTTATAAATAAATACAACTATTTGAAAAATAACTTCTTCTGATTCATGTGAAATAGATGATGCTACAGAAAGCACTTTCGGAAAACCTGTATTACATTTCTGAAAGTTTCTAACGATTTCTCCTTCTGAAAAGGACGGGGGAGATATGCCAAGAGCTTTTCTCTTTTTACCCATAACTGTTACCTTGTAGCCACATAAAACAATATTCTTTATCTAAACCCGGCACAGTTTCCCCCGGCTCTGGGTAGGTAACTTAAGTCCGAGTCTCCTCCGGCCCCTCTCAGCCTGCCGGGAGCCGCTGCCCCTGCCCGGCCGTGCTGCCCCCTGCCCACCCGCTGGCTCGGCTTTGCAAGGCTGGAGGGGTGGATGTTGCCGAAGGGGAAGGCTGCAAACTTGCCAAACCTCACGTACAGGAATTACGTTACTTAATTTCGAGGTTTCTGTGGAAAGCCTTTACTTTGCTTTTTTGGATGTAGGTGCTGCTTTTAGACTGACAAGCGACGGTTTTACATCTCTCGTTCAGGTCTGACATTGTTCTGGCGGAGGGAGAAAACTGGAAGTGTAGACAGGTAAAGAATCAGAAAAATTAGAGATAACCCTGGCTAAATGTTGTATCACGAGGTGAAGGAGAGTAATACCCAGCAGAAGGAGAACACAACGCTGATTTATTTGGCCTTTCCTCTGTCCCTGTGCGGCAAGTGCCTTCTTCCCCGCCAGGGCGGCCGCTGCAAGGCCTGCCGGCTCCCCGCC